GCTGGCCTCGAACTCACAGAGATCCACCTGCCTCTGCCTCCCGAGTGCTGGGATTAAAGGCGTGCGCCACCACCGCCCGGCCTGATACTCCTTTTAAATCACTGTAGTAAATGCTTGGATACTAACACTAACCCACTCATTTCTGTTTCCTTCCAGTTTGTGAAGTGTGGATATGCAGGCTCTAACTTTCCAGAACACATCTTCCCAGCTTTGGTTGGAAGACCTATTATCAGATCAACCACCAAAGTGGGAAACATTGAAATCAAGGTAATGTTTTATTCATTGTTAAAGAACCATGAGGCTGTGTGAGGTGATCTTTGAATTAAATAGTGTAAAGTAAAATGTCAGGAAAAGCAAAGAAGAGAACAGAATTTCTCGTAATTTTAATGTATAGTAACACCTCAACAAAGGCAAAAACCCCCCTGAAGTTAATTTTATCTTTTTGTTTACGTATAGCATGGTGCCATTATGATATGGAGTATAAAAAACATTAGCTTTAGAATTAAGTACAAAATTGATATATATTAGTGCCTATGCCGTCTTAGTGTCTCTGAGACGTGGGGCTTTTCTGACCTCCTACTCTTTCATGCAGTCAGTCAGGAAGACCCAGAAGTCTAGGCCTGGTTCCTCTTCTTCCCATTCCAGTTGATTTTCATAATGTGCGGGAAGAAACCAGGCAGCTCCTTATTTGGTCTTAACACTTTGTCTTTCCGTAATGGAAGAGGGGGACAAGTTGTCATTAGCCAATACTTTACATGAGAGGCTCAACAAATTTTCTTCCACTGAGCTAGAAATCAAGCAGGAGTCACATTATTTTATAAGAAATAGACTAATTAAAAGATCATGAATTGACTACATTCTTAAGGTAGATAGGGTCCAGATTATAAAAAAACAGTAGAATTTAGGGGCTTTTTTAGTGAGGCTTTTCTTTCTTTCTTTTTTTTAATAGTTAACACTGTTTGGTCCTGTTTGGACAGTCTTTGTCAAGACTCAGGGTGTATATCTTTGGGATATTTGTTTGAGGTACAGAGAAAAGTGATGGGTGTAATAGACGATAGAGATAAATTACTGTGTTCTAGGTCTCAACTGTGGGAGCTCGAGAACAGAGTTACATAATAAATAAAAATACACATGGAAACGTAGATTCTGTGGTTTTTTTTTTTTTTTTTTTTAAATAACCTAAAAGTGAATTCTGGCCTTTGGTAGGTTTCCAAAACCAAGTAGTTCACTCAGTATGAGACATTTTAGGAAAGGCTTTGCAGGGAAATTTTGTCAGATTCCTTTTTCTCTTTTCATAAATTTTCATTCTGATTGAATTTTATCTTTTTTATTTTTATTTTTTTGGAGACAAGATCTTACTGTGTATCCTTGGCTGGCCTTGATCTCAGAGAGAGCATGCTTCTGCCTCCAAGTGTAAGATTAAAGGCCTTCATCAGGAAGCCTGGCAGGTTCTGTCTTGAAAGGACTTCAATTTGAAATTCAGCTAGTAATGTGATGAGGGAACACTGAGTGTAAAGAGTGCATTTTACTTAGAGGCTGGCCTTTGTACATTTTTATAGATGATAACATTTTTGAGGTTCAGAGAAATATCACATGTAGCCATTTTTATTCTCCAACACAACAAAAACAGCACATTTCTTCTCACCTGTTTTCTTGCTTTTTAAGGCCAAGTAATAAAAATGAAGTTTTCTTGTGAGACATTTTCCAGGGACTGCTGATAGAGTGTGTCAGTGTGTTTTTACTTCCGCTATTTCACGTCTTTAAGGCTTTCCAGTTAAATTGCGTTTCCTTTCACTTGACTGCTAGGGTTTAGATAAACACTCCTGAACTAAACTCTGACCTACTCAGCTAGACCATGTATTGTCCATGTTTTTCTTAATTGAAGTTCTTAAATTCAGTAATGAACTAAAGAACAGTTTGGAATTCCCGTGCTTAGCGAATTGACTTATATTTATTTTTAAGTCTTGTTAGCTAAAATGTGATGGTAGACTAAGACAGTGGGAATTTAAATCACCTACTTAATTCCCACAGAGTTCATGTGGCCCTGATGTTAACCCTGTAAGATATAGTGGCACTGCATCTGACCTCGGCCTAACTGTCTCTGTTGCTTGTGTGTTTAGACCTTTCGGTGGGGATTTTGTGTAGGCCTTTTCTGACTCTCGCTCTACCTTCTCTCTCCTTTCTTGACCTGTTGAAGTAGAGTAACAAAACGATGGTAAGTGAGGTCACACACGTGCTCTGCTTGTTTCCACTTCGCCTTGCTGGGACAGTAGCTGTTGTTTGTGTCCCTTCAGTATTGGGGAGGGGGAAATCCATATTTTTGTTTTAAGTGCTTTAATTTTTTAACCTTTTTCATTTCTTCAGTTTGGTAGCAACTAATAAAGTCCTGTACTTTCCTGATTGCATACAATGAACCAAACAAGAACTAATTACTAACATAGTTTTGAATTGTTTTCCTTATTTTTTGTAGATGAATGTTGTAATTAAAATGGAATGTGGTGTGCATAATACAGAAATGAAGTAGCTATGTGATACAGACAGAAAATGGGTGAATTTGTTACATTTGGACACTTAGTTTATTGATTGATGTTCTATATTACCTATTATACTGAATGCATAAATTTGCAGCCAGTATAACATATATGCATTTGGTAAACTGAGTAGAATTTTAATGTATACATGAATCATAAGTGAAAAAAGAAATAAAAGAAAATCTGTTTCTATGTCATTCTTACTGATGAGTAGATTTGACACTATCTGAAAATAAATAAGAAAAAAATAACATACCTCTCGGGCTTTCCCAGAAATAAAAGGCCATGCCCCATACACACAGAGACAAGTAAGTACCTTTGTGTAGTCCCTCCCTTTTATAAAACAAACAAACAAACTAGAGGCTTGCTGGGCCTGTCCCAGACATTTGACTGTGTTATTACATTTTTATATGGTAGTCTTTAAGTCTGGAAATTCTTAATTTTTTTTCTGAATAAAAGAACATGCATTGTTTTAAATACTAAAGACATTTTTTTTTAAAGGGTGTGCTTGTAGAGAATAGTATAGGCATAATTTTAAAGTTCTTTTTAAATCAGAAATAGAATATCTAGTTGGTATTATAAATATATTTGTTCTTTCAGTATAAAAGTAAAATCTTCCATATGCTGGGTGAAAAGAAAAAACGTATTTTGAGATGTAGCGTGCTCTAACCCTTACACCAACCTCCGCTTCCCTGGTTTCATAGACTTTCCTTCTAGGGATGTAATTGTGGTTTAAAGCTTGTATTTTTCTCTGTTTTCTAGTTCAGAGTGACGTTCAAAATTATTCTTGGCAGATATAATCTATACTAAGTAACTGGCTTTCACCCAGTGTCTCAGTTACTGTGAGTTTCCAGGGACCAGGTGAGGTTTAGGCTTGAAGTCCAGTGGTGGGCAACAGTAAAAACTCGAGGCTGCTCTGAGCATTTCCTGCTGGTTCTGAAGGGAGGAGGGAACCTAAGAGTCTTCGATTTGTTTCTTTGTTTGCTTGTTTGTTTGTTTGGGGGTTTTCTCTATGTAGCCAGCCTTAGCCATCCTGGAACTTGATCTGTCCCAGGCTGGCCTTGAACTCACAGAGGTCCGCCTACCTCTGCCATCCTGGGATCAAAGGTGTGCGCCACCAGCCACCACCGCAGAGCTAGGTTATTAGCATTGTTGAAAGTTGAAAGGTTCTAAGGGAGAGTTAATATGTGATCTAGGTTTTGTTTGGAGGTTTTGTTTGATTAGTTGGTTAGTTTTTTCTCAGACAGGGTTTCACATAGCTTAGGCTGGCATCAAACTTGCTGTGGAGTCCAGGATAGCTGCCTTGAGCTACTGATCTTCCTGCCTCAATCTCAGTGTCTCTGTCTCTCTGTCTCTCTCTCTGTCTCTCTCTCTGTCTCTCTCTCTGTCTCTCTCTCTCTCTCTCTCTCTCTCTCTCTCTCTCTCTCTCTCTCTCTCTCTCTCTCTCTCTCTCTCTCTCTCTGTTTTGAGTTTTGGTT